AAAATTATAAAAAGTAAAAAAGAAAAAAAATTACCGAAAATTTTGGATAAGTATATTTTGTAAGTAAACGAAATTTTTAAATAAAAATTTTATTTTCTATCACAAGATCAAAGGAAATACCGCGCTTCAGTTCCAGCTGGATGACTGATACACATTTTCATCGTTGCTTTCATAATTGGTAAATCAAAACACGGGAAAACTGATCGAGCATTACGAAGTTGAAAAAATGTCGTTACTGTCCATGGCCTTCAAAATTTTTTAACCTTTTTTTTTTCAAAATTTTAAATTAATTTCACAGATTTGCTGTAATTAATTAAAGTTTATTTTAAGTATTTAAATTTCAAATTTTATTTTATTTCTGCAAAAAAGTTAACAAGATTTATATACTGTATTTGCAAAAAGAAAAACGAAAAAAAAATTCACCGTTTAGGTTCCCATTTTTGTGGTCTTTTAACAATTAAACCGGTAGAGGCTTGTAAACTGGAAAAATTTTTAATTTGTAAGACAACAATATGCCCAATATCAATAGGTTCCGAGAATTCCACTGATAATACTTCATCATTTTGATGATAAACTATTGATGTGACACATGAAATTTCGCCTAAATTTTTTAAAACTTTTAAATATTCAAAATATCATTTAATTAAAAAGGAATCTTTGTTAAATAAAAATTAAATTATTTTGTTAATTCTTCAATGATAACCTGTACTACAATTATAAGCTGTTATTTGTGATAATGAAATATCAGAGATGGAACGACCAACATGTAATGATATTAATGAAGTTGTTTCAGCTGCTTTAATCTGTAACAATTTTAATTAGGTGAAGTTCAATGGATTATGAAATTATTTGAATTAATGATATTGTATGATATCGATAATTAAGCTTCATTGTTAGAAACAAATTTACATTAAATAAATTCAATTATTCAAAAATTCCTTTCTTTCATTTTAAATTATTCAATGAATCATTTTCTGTATTGAAAAAATAGAAATTTTATTGTAAATATTTCAAAAAGTTTAGTTTTTAAATTTTCAATTATTTTAATTTTAAGTTTATTTAATTTAATGATAAGAACTTACATAAATGTTAACATTGCCTGTAAACGATGTTCGCGCATCTCGATTAATGGTTATATTAAGTTCGTAATGTATTGGATGCCATCCCATAAAATGTCCCAAATTGGCGACAAAATCTTCTGATGGTATATTTCCATCACTGTACGAAAAATTTTGTAAGATAAATTATTATTACAATTAGGCATATATTATTAAACTAAGCTGTAAATAATCATGATATTTTCCTAAAACTTTCAATAATTATGCAAGGTTAAGCAATGAGAAATAGTAAATAATATTTTGGAAATTATTGAGTAATTCAGTTTTAAATTTTGCTTACTTAATATCATAACATATAATTTGATAAAAATTTTTCGCTAATCAATGGAAAATTATGATTATGCTTTAAGCATCTTTCTTTTTCTTTTTTCTCAATGCTAAATAAAATTTAATCCAATTTTTAGAGAAATGCTAATAATATGAAATAGATCGATTGATTGAATTGGTAAATGTTTCAAAAAGGCGTAATATTTGTTTGACTATTTGCATATCCATTCTTAGGATTAGCAATTAATTATTTCATGACATTATCTAATAATCATCACAAATCTCATTCAAGCAATGTTTGTTGAAATCTCATCCATTTAATTAATTAATTTTTCACACAGAAGCTTACATATATTACTTTTGAAATATTTTCATTTAAGTATGGAAGTTATTTCAATAGAAAATGTTGAATTTATTCTGTTATTGCAAGAATTAATTGTTAATTAATTATAAAAGATATTTTTATGTAAATGAATACTTTATATTTCTAAAAAGTTTATCCTCATATATAACCAAACGAGCCATTTATCTTTCTAATTCTTAGAAGTAATAATTTTTTAAAACGAAAAAAAAATTGAAATTTACAGATATTGTTTAGAATGAATTAAGAATAATATTTGAATTAAAAAGATAGCAGAATATGATTAGAGGCGCAAAAGTTCGATTAGATTGGTTAGAAAAAGAGAAAGTTTTCAGATTAAAAAGATATCAGAGTATGATTAAAGGCGCAAAAGTTTGATTAGATTAGTTGCAAAAAGAAAAAGTTTTCAGATTGCATAATTTACATACTTTTGAAAATTTTTACGCCGAATTCGAAGACATTTCTTACTCTCAATTGGTGTGACACATTGTGATGCATCAAAACTTTGACTATTACTAGTCGTTGGCAATGATGTAAAACTTGTATTCTGCAAGAAAATACTCGATTAAAAAATTTTTCATTTTATAATATTTAATAAAACAAATGAAGAGAGAATTTATTGAAATAGAAAATTGATTTTATTAAATTTTGTTAAATTTAAAAATTGATTTTATTGAATTAAAAAATTAAAAAATTAACAAAAAAGCGAAGGATTTTATTGAATTATAAAAATGAAAATTATAAAATTTTTAAAATTTCTTCAAAAGAACTTACCTCATCAGATGATTGTTCGTTAAATTCAGTCTGTTGTAATTGTACCATACTGGAATACTCATCATTATCATTTTCAACATTCCCAATTTTTTCTACCTTTGATACCTTTACAGGTATACTTCTGCTATTTCGTCCAAAAACCATTAATATACCAAGTAAAATGAGTAATAAAGCAATAATTAGTAATACATTTACGACATATTGCTTTTTATCAGTGAACCATTTTTGTTGTTTATGAAATGTTCCATTGATAATAGTAGAAGTAACATTGGTATTATTGGTACCATTAATAACACCATTAGTACCATTAATGGAAAAGGTATCTGGTGTTGATATCATATTATCAAAAAGAGAACCAGAAATGAGATATGATGATACGCTGACAATTCTCAAGTAGTCACTAACTTTGAATTGATGAATATAATTGGGTTGGGCTATAGGGTATTGATGTGAAGTAATTGGAAGAATTCGAAGGAGGTGTTGCATTTAATGAATTATCTTCTTATTCTCATCAATTGTTATACTATTTCTTGTCACTTTATCCTTGTCGTATGAAGTTGTAATTTCTACATTAGCAAAATCTCCCCCCATTATCTTTCGTATCAGATATCAGTATGCTATTAAATGATAGTTGCAACAAGAAATTTATCTTTCAATCTTAAGTCAAAAATATTTTTACACAAATTAGAAAATAAACATTTGAAATAATCTATTTTTAATTTTTCAATGAGTTTAATTCAGAATTGAAACGTTTTAAATTAACAAAAGATGTAAAGTTGTGAAAAATCGGAAATACGAAATTTCATCGTTCATTATCAGTGATAATAAATTACAGTAATAATTTAATCGTCGTAAATTTTCTTTTTTTTTTTTTTTGAAATTACAGTAGTAATCTAATAGACCTAAATTTGATCTAATAAATCGAAATTTGGTCTAATAAAAGGAAGAAAAATGAAAAAAGGATTATCACTCCCTTGAAATATGCAATGAATTATATATTTAAAAGCTGATATCATCAATGGTATCACTTCGGTATCACATTTTAATATTCGAGATATCCTAGATGATCTGAGATTTCCTGATCAATTTTGGGATGTGTATGTAATTTTCAATCAAAATTTTAATTTCGAAATTAGTAAAGTTACTTTCAGTTGCATTGCACATTGTTTAACACATCTGGCATCCTTTCTGCAATTAATGAATGAATGGTAAGGAATCAAAGTTGACATAAACTAAAGCTAAAATTTTCATCCTCTATCATTTCTCATCCTCACACCATCCCATACATGTCTTCCTGTCACTTTAAGCGAGAAAAGACGAAGAGATAAACTGGACTAATAAACCATAAACAAATACAGAATGAATCGAATAAAATGGTTAACAAATGAATCTTTAATCCAATTATTAGTAAACAATTGTCATTTGTCACCTTCATTATCTTAAATTTGAAATTGAATTTTTCTTTTTTTTTTTTAAATTTTCTAATCATAGAAGATATTTCTTAAATTACAAGCTGAAGTAACAACTGTTTTAAACAAATGGCATTTTGTGAGATGATTGACTGATGTAATGCAATATCAATGATGAATAGCTTCTTCTCTTACTTTTACAAATTTTATGAATTTCTGATGAGATTTAAAAATGAATTTAGAAATTTTACAAGTATCAAAAATTTTAAAATCAATCGATAATTTATTTTCAACAATTGTATCTTTATTATTTTTATTAGTAATGTTAAAGTTTCTTATTGTTACGTGTTACTGTATTAATTAAATTTTTTTTTTTTTTAAATTTAGTACTTTAAATTATTGAGGAAAAAATTGTAAATGGTATGTTTTGGCTAATGTATCAAGATGTAGAAATGTAACAAATTTTGTGTAACATGTCAGCTGATGGGGACTTACCTCTAATCCTTTCTCTTTTCTGTTGACCTGACCAGATCAGAACAATTGTACTCAATCTTTCCTTCCATTATAGGTACATCTTATAGACAGTGATATCATTGAATAATGATATGATACAATTTTCCACTAATTAGATGATTATTTAAATTATACATGAGTTAAACTTTTCATTTTAATTACAGTCTATTTGATAAGAGATATCATCAATTTATTTCAATAAAACAAATATCGATCAGCTAATATAAGCGGCTTCGATTCCTTTGTAATGCTACATGATGACACAAAACCTTATTCGACCACGTGAGTGTAATTTAACTTGACAACTGTTTTCATAAAAGCACTAAACTTCTCGCATCTTAATTTTATTATATGCAACTGTAAAGCGCAATTAGCCGATTTCAATTTTTATCTGTTAATTATTTGCTAAATGATGCATCGATGTCCTTTGCATAAATGCTGATGCTAGATCAGTTACGATAATCACAAACAAGATATTAAAATCCTTCCACGTATCTGTTCTTCCCAGTGTAACTTCTCATCGGATATCATATTTGAACACAAAAAATTCAAAACCTTGTCATTTTGAAAGAAATCTAAAACTGCACGACTGCTAACTTATAACTAAGCCAAATATTGTGAATATTAACGAAATGAAATTTTATTACCATATTTTGACATTATATTTTTAACAGCCTACAAGATACAAACACAAGGTATAAACTGATTCAGCTTGATAGAAAAAAATTGTTGACATTTACAGGTATATTTTTTTAGCATAAAGAAATGATAACTACATATTTAAACACAAAACATCACAAGTTTCGGTTTTTTATATATGGATTCAATTAGTGCATTTGTGCAAAGAAATACAGCAGCAGCAGCAACAACAATGGCAAAAATTAATGGGACAACAAAAGGCAAAAAATGATAAGCGAAAATAGACGGACAGGCTCGGATAGAAAGAGCCAAAAATTTCGACTGAGTTTTTCTGTTTTCAAAAAAACCTTTGGATACAAAAATCATATAACTACATGAGACTTTTGGACAGAAAAAACACCGGGAGTTAAAATACTTCAAAATCGAATGCACACCGACTACAATGAAGAAATAACTTATTGTTATTTTGCAGTACTAAATTAGGAGTTTCCGAGCACTCTCGATCAGCATGGGAGGTGAAAATCTTTGTAAAATGAGCCATTAATTCGAGGGGAGATGGTAAAGGTTGTGTCAAGCGCAACTGTAGTTTACAATGCTCACATTTCAGCGAATATTCATCAGGAAAATTCAGATTGGCAAGCTGAAATACAAAACGTTTAAATATGAGAAATTTTAAAATAGGATCTCTGAAATATCACAAAGTTTAAATATCACAAACTTATCACAAGTTTAAACAAAATAGAAAAATAGAAAATAATAACCCTGTGCAGTGAAGGGGAATCTTTATGAACAAAAGGTGAAGACATTTGATTTCATTTCTGAATCTTTTAACCCTACGGTTCATCATGTTGTAATATCTATCCCAGGATACTGGGAAAAGTGTGACAGGAGAATTCTCACAAACCAAGTAACAACAGTATATTTTAATCAAATTGAATTTATACAGATTGATTATGAAAATAAAAAGAACACAAAAAGAAAAGGATAATCCAAAGGAAGCCAACTATTTACCAAATTTTTTTAGATTCCTACTGCATATAATTTGCTGGCCATAAAACCAAAATAAAGATTAAACAGAATAGAAAACAAACGTCCACTGAAATACCGAATCATACCTGGCATCTTGGACATAAAACCGAATTGTATCCACTTGCCAAATCTTCCAATCGTTCTTGCTCATAAGTAATCATACTTTCTATTTCTGAAAAATGCTATTGAACGGTACAACATTTCGAAAATTCAATACGATAATAAGTGTATCTCATAGACAAAAGCGACATTTCAGAAAAAAGAGATAGTAAAAAAAGAGAGATAGTAAAAAAAAGGGAGATAAAAAGAGAGATAAAAGGGAGATAGTCTTTCTGCAACGGATCTATAAAAAGACTTAATAATGAGATGAAGAAAAAACCCTGTTGAATAATTTCATCTCGAAATCGTTCAAATTCTTGAATAGCTTCATTCAGTTCATTATCTGTGATATGCTCCGATAACCTTAAAGCATTAATATCATTCTGTATTATGCTTTCAACAGGCAAATCAGTCTGCCAATATCCAAATTCATTACGTGTACGGCTAAGAACTTTTTGTCGTTCATCTCGCAATCGTCGAATAAAGTTCTGAAAATTTTGTATGCGCATAAAACTACAACAAACAGTAACATGTCATAAAACTACAACAAACAGTAACATGTACAGTTAGCACGTACAAATATAAGTAGTAATAATAATATCGAGATAAATGTCATTATAAGTAAGCAAGAATTCGAAATGGATAGTTTCCTCAGGTTATTACTTATTCCTAACCAACGGGTAAGTCTTTTCCTTAACATATTTGTTTTCAATGAAGTTTAAATCAGCCAAAGGTGACCAATTCCGTAACCTTTTTAAATCAGCAAGAGATTTAATGTAATTTAGTAATTAATACAAAAATACTACTTGCAAACCTCTCGCAATTTAATTTTCCAGTCTACACTTTTCTTTTTGTAAAGATGCTGATGGGATGAGACACATTGTTGTTGTCGCGACATT